TAAAATAGCACACTTTGTCGGTTGAATTAGTTTGCCTTCACATTTTATTAAACTAAGTTTGATAAAATAATTTGTGGGTTGTTATGGTCAAATCTGACATTATGGCACATTGTAGCTGATGACTAGTGAACCATAATCATGAGTCCATGTGCAAATGCATACTACCAGCTGATTTCCATAGTTTATTGTATGCCACTAAAATAGGCAAAATAATCTACATGGTTTATGCCATAAACACGTAGGTGGAAAAGACATAAACTACAAGGAAGACTTTCATATTGAACTTTATTTACATCCTCAGTACTGCACAAGATCGTGACATGGGTGTTGGACAGTGAAGAGGATGGGAAAGAGCTGCAGAAATAATTGTCTTGATTTTTGTTTTTGTACAAATGAGCCTGTCACTGTGCATATGCTTGGTTTGATTGCCACCATGTGCCACATGGATGTAACCCCCTCAGATTTCAGGGACAATTTAATTGGCTTGCTTGCTTGCTGTTTGCCCTCCCCTGTCACAGTCATGCCGATGATCAATCAATAATTATGCCCACAACATGACAACGCATTCCAGCAATTCCAATTATTCATAGGTAATTAGCTAATTGGGCAAGGTTTTCACTTGTTGCTAGCTAATCCCACTGGTCGGACATGTCTGTGTATGTGCAAAGCCATTACCTGACCCAAATGGTTGCATATATTACACATTATATAATACGTGTAATATATAAACTTGTGTTTTTCCCCAAAAAATGTATCAGTCATAGTAAGGAAAATACACTCACTTTCATTTATTCTCAAATGTCTACACAGTATGGTCACACATGCATCTTCACTTCTGTACACAGAGTTTTCACACCTATTGTGAACATCATCATAAAATACCCACCTTTGAAAGGATTTACCTCTAAACCTTGCATTCCTGAGACAACCTCTGCAGAAGAGCATAATAAAACCACATAACTGTTCCATCAGACTGAGCATCAAATTGTCTCCAATGCAAAGGGTCTGAACGCAGTGTCAGTAATTCTCTGGGAGTTGCCTTAACTCAGACTACAGCTTTGACAAAGAGTCTTTGTATGTCTGCATCTGTCCGAGTCTGGTCTGCACGTCTGTAGCACACACGCACTTGTGCACACATACAGAATAACAGGAACACACAAGCATCTGTTCAAAGCTATAATTATCTGTGTGAGCACCGCTTCTCTGTGATTTTGTGTGTGTGCATCATGCATCTGCGTTGACAATAGCTAAGCAACATCATTGCAGTTTGTGTATCAGAATATTCTTTCCTATCTCCATAGCAAAAAATGGAGGCTGCAAAATTCAGGTTATTTTTGTCAGTGTTCTTACAGTTTATAAGATATTACATTGAAGTGGTTAGGGATTGTAATCAAGCGTTTGCTAACTAAGCTAACATTTGCAAAATAAGTTGCTGTCTCTGGCTTACTTTTCAATGTTTCCAGCATTAAACAACAATTGTTAAAGAAAATATTCTTGTAGAAGACTTGACAAACATGATATTGTGCTTAAAGACTGGGGCTAAAGCTGCATGCATGGCTCGAGTGTACAAACTTCCTCTAAAGAGAAAAGCATATCTTGCAGCATCCAGGAAGAGCTATAAGGTGGAGAATGACCACAGTGGAATTAGTGCTCATTAGCTGTTCTCAAGGGGCAACCTCCTTGTCCAAAGAGTCAAGGCTTACTTCAGTCAAAATAATTCCTAATGGGTTTATGGTCTCGATTGCTAGTTTTGGTGATACCATTTAGAGTTAAAAAGAAAAAAAGAGTAAAAAGGACAAGTGCAGGGTATGCCTTAGGGAGCTTCTGCATGGTGTCCCTAACACTGCGTTGCTACCAAGCTTTTGTTTCAGCGTTCAGTTGTACACTACTTTAGTAATTGGCTTTTCACTTTTTGGGGAAAGTGTATTTTCTGTTAAACATGTATTTTTGCAAGTCAAAAGGAACTGATATCACAGAATTTCACATACACCTTGCTAATCAAACTAGCTTGCTAGAGCTAACGTTAGCTTTTGAAAAATGCTCACAAAAAACAACAATGCTCACAAAAAAACAAGATGCCCCCATTTAAATGACCAAACTCGAGGCTTCTTTTATACAATATAAGGCTTTTTGGCATTGGAGTTGCTCCTCTATTGCATAAGCTAGTTTGGTTATGCTCATGACATTAAGCTTACATTAGAGCAGATGAAAACTTTGTTTAAAAACACCTTCAAGCACCCTTTTTTTTGTGTTTTTTGTTTGGGAAAAGTTACACAAAGACACTATTACTAGACTCAGAAAATAACACTGCTCTAGCAAGTTGAGACATCCAAAGCTTCAAAGGTTAGCTGTGCATATTATAGTACCAATTCCTTATTAAAAAAAACTCCATATGGGGAAATGGTTGTAACAAATATTCACTTACATTGTTTTTCTTTTTTATTATACAAATACATTCTTCAATCTTCACACTGCATATTATTAATGCTGTGTGCCATCTGAATCCGACCTCCTTCTTCTTTCATCATCATCCAAGAAATCTATGCAGACCCCCGTACAAAAATATAGCACATGCTTTCTGTGCAGGTTTGCTTGATTATCAATGTATCAACAAAAACATTGCTGTCTGCTTTTGTTCAGACACTTCTTACACAATTCAGATTCCAAAAGATGTTGACGTCAGATGTGGAGCACAAGTATTCTCAACCTGTAATTTCCTCTCAGATGTATGAAATTGCAGTTAATGATATAGTGTAGCTGATTTCAGGTTTCGGTCCATCAGTGGCATGTTTTGAACAGTCCGTCCATTTTAGTAACTGCATCTGCGGTGAACCTAGACTACAGGAAAAACATAAACCTTACACTGTTGTGCTAAAATGAAAAAGAATAACCCCTGGAGCTACCTTTTTCGACACATTATATTACTGCTAACCTCCTGGGACTGTAAGACAACATCAGAGTGTGAAAATGTCCTTCTATCTGCGTCTGTGCCTGGAGAAAGTGCTGCAAACCAAAAAGTAAACATCAGTCTAACATATTAGGTTTCATCTCAGTCGCAAAACATCACCCATTCAGCTGAAGATAATAGGTCTGTTTATTTTATAATAAGGTTCTCCTGGGATTTTTTCTTCTTCTATTTGTCGTTATAATTAATTTAACCATTGCCAATATGGAGGCTATTGAATGGCATATAAAAAGGCTTTGAAACATTTGTTTGAGTTAACGAGAGTGGCATTGCAATTCTAATTGTAAAATGATGCATTCAGGATCAAAACATCAAATTAGCCGTTAATTCAGCTTTTCCTTTCTACATTTCACCCAGCTTCATGTAATTACTACTGTTAGACACAAAATCAAGCAACACCCATTTTATTAAAGCAATATTTATGTCATTATGGATGTGGGTAGAGCCATAGTGAGTATTGAGTAAGTACGATATGCAGTGTTGGGACTAACGCCAGGGCCGGCCCTCGGCATAGGCAGTATAGGCGAATGCTAAGGGCGCATCAACCCATAGGGGGCGCCGAAAATGTAAAAAAAAAAAAAAGTTAGAATATTTTTTTTTTTTCATAACAACACAATTTCCCGATTTTGGATCAACAAAGTACATCTTATTATCTTATACTAACAGAACTACGCCTATATTGCGTACAGCGCTCATAAACTATGGCACACACCCCCCCCCCCCCCAAAAATCAAGTTGAACTACCCCAGTCCCAGTAAAAACCAGAGGTTTATGTGAAATTGTTCTTTTTTTTAAATAATGGTTTTAGTGTGCAATTATAGGTTTTAATTTTGTATTTGTATTCATTTAAAATAAATCAAACTCCCAAAAAACGTGCACAGCTTCTGTGTGCTTTTATTAACATTGGAATTTACATTGTAAGCGGCCGCGGGGGTGAGAGCTTCAGAGAGCTCTCTCCTGAAAGACTGAGAGGCTCTGATAACCTCAGCTCAGTGAGGTAAAGGCACACCTTTATATGATCATTATAGTTATAAAAAAAATAAGAGAATAGGTGAAAAACAGGTATAAAATACTGACGGTACAAAAAAGTTGTTATTAATAAACAAGAATACAGTTTGAAAGGGGAGTGATTTGTAAAATATCCATAAAGAAAAAGAAAATCTGCTTACAGTTCTGTTTCATATGGGTGTTGAGAGATGTATCCATAGATCTCCTAATGTTGCTCTCAAAGTGCACCAGATTGATGCTTTCAACTTCAATATTAAAAAAAAAAGGCTTCCTGGGGGTGCATGCCCCCGGACCCCCTAGAATCATGTTCAAATGGATAGGAAATGGATAGGAAACTAAATACAGTTGCACACATCTTGTGTCAATATCTTTCTGTTTTGGTGGTCATGCCACAACCGTGCACGCGCAAATCATAGTGAGTGTCTGCATTTTGGGGGGGGGCGCCAACTAAAATCTTGCCTAGGGCGGCAAATTGGTCAGGGCCGGCCCTGACTAACGCGTCACACAGTAACGCGTTTTGTGGTAACTAATAGCGTTACCAGTTACATATTCCCATTAAGTAACGACGTTATAGTTACTGTGATTTAAATGGGTGCGTTACTGTGTTACATTATGTGATCTAACTGAACCGAATCTCCCTGCGGATGTAATTTACAGGCGAATACAGCGATGTCTTCTCACAGTACCATGGAAAAGTGAAAAGTGACCAGAGAGGAGGATGATTGGTTAACGCGGGTAAACATTCAGGGTAAGCCAATCAGAGACAGAGTTGGGCGGGTCCTTGAATTATGGGGAAAATACAAAATACACAGACACACAAACACTTGCTAACACACACACATACACGGCAACGCCCACCACCCCGCACACACACACACACAAACAACACACACACCACAACAACACACACACACACACACAACACACACACACACACACACACACACACACACACACACACCACACACACACACACACACACACACACACACACACACACACACACACACACACACACACACACGCACACACAATGGCAGATGCAAGTATCAGCGAGAGCAGCAGCGCATTTACAACTTGGAGATTACTTATAAGGCTGAAAGCACCTCTTCTTAAGTTTATCCACCATTATTGATTTTGTTTATGCTATATGGCCAGATGTGAGGTAAATTATTTCACTGTTAGTTTGTTTTTGTGAGGCTGAAAATAGTTTGTTTGTCTTCAGTGTCAGTCAGTGTCAGTTACTGCCAAAAGAGTGTAGTTCTTATTTAATTGTTACACTGCCAAAATAGTGTAGTTGTTTTTATTTCATATTGCACTACAAGTGCACTACTTAGAACTTGATTGTTGAGGCTACAATAAAGATGCCTGTCAAAATGTCAAAATATATCTTTTGTGTTTTATTGTTCCACTACATTTCATAATGATAATTGCTACAATGATGGGGTGTTGTCTTTTCTCTTACGGTGCCACAGAACAACACAAACACTTGTATTTTTATTGTAATTATTTTTAAAGTAAAGTAAAGTAACGTGTTACTAGTTACTTTTATAATTGAGTAACTAATAAAGTAAGTTACTTTTTTGCGAGCAGTAACTATAACTATTACTAGTTACTTTTTAAAAGTAACTTGCCCAACACTGACGATATGTAAGGTGAAGAAGCGTGTAGTGCATTAGGATTTTAAGGCTTAGATACAAGTACTCCAGGCAGGCCTCTTTTTATATCACCATGGCAACTGAATTCCTCATGCGGTAACATTGTGGTTCAGAAGACAGACTCCAGCCCCTCTAATTCTCTAATTCATCATTAGTGTAGCCATGTTCTTGACAGGGAAGTTGGCGGAGATGATTGCTGCTGGGAGTCAGCGTGCTGTCAATGGATGAATTAGTCATGTATTCAGTCTTTAAACCACCCAAAGTCTCATTTTCTTTTTTCCAGCAAGGCTTTCCCGAGTGGAAATGTGTCCTTATCGGCTTATCCTTGCAGCCTTTTGTTACCCCTAAAAATAATTGTCTGCCCTATCTGTCCACGCTAGTCTCTGCCAAACGGTTGTTCATGATGCCGAGGGCTCCCACCCCTCCTGAGAATCCGTTCTGACGTGAATTGGAGCTGGACTGGCGCGGGTGCCCAATGGCCATCTCGGAAAGCTGCTTCTGCATAATAGCCAGATTGACCTGCAGGAAGAGAAAGAGATAAAGGAATAAACAGATGAGGATATATTTGCTGTCTGCGTTTGGAAGTGGTAGCTGCAACCTGTGAAGCCTTGCACAATGAGGATAATACAATGTGTTGGCAGCACACACATCTGATTTCACAGGTGTGATATGAGGCTACCAGATGGTGCCTTTCCTCTCCTTTTGTGGTGTCGATTTATGTGAACAAGGACGACAAATACTGAGCAAGTGTTACTGACAGAAAGCAGATCCTTCTTTTTGCTTTATCAGTGTACAAAACAACCTGTAGGGAATAAACATTACTGATGTGTAATATTGTTTTATTAATATTGATTAATATTTAATGGTACTGTATTTTGGATTAATGGGTATTCTTAGCCATGGTAGTTGCATGACTGGATGTTTGTCTTTCATCCAGACAGAAATATTTCAACAGCTCTTGAGATGATTTATCAGGAAATGTGTACAGTACAGAAAGCCCCACGGGAAAAGCCTTCTAACTTTGGTGATCCCCTGAGTCTTGCACTACTCATATTGTAATATCTCCAAAAATATCCAATGGATTGCCATGGAATTTGTTATAGACTTTCATGCTCCCCTCTGGATGTTTTTTATGAACTCTGGTGATCCATATGATGTTTCATCTGGCACCATCATCAGGCAAATCACCAATTGCTCTCAATTTAATGGAAAACTATAATGAAATTCCCATAAACTTCACCTGTACCTTGTGTTCGGAGCTAATAAGCTAAAAAACAAACTGAGATGGTGTACTTGTAGACATTATACGTGGCTAGTACAAGCATGTTGGCCTTGTCATTGGAGCCTTAACCCTAAATGTTTGTAGTCCACAGATTTTAATCATCAATCACCTAAATGTCTTGGGTTTCTGACTGAGTGTAGTCAGTGGCGGTTCTAGAACATTTTACATGGGGGGGCAAAGGGGGGGCAAGAGGTCATGCCAGGGTGGCATAGGAGGGCGGACAGTACGTGGTATTTTATACTGTATAACCTATTTATTGTTAATTCATGCCCTAACACAAGTGTTCTTAATGCACAAGAGAAACAAGGTGTTCAGACAAACAATCGGGTGCCCTTTGAGTCCCCCAAGCTTACCTCAACCATTTTAAATGAAAGGAAACTACAAAATGTATTTTAAAGCAATGTAAAATTAAATATATATTTTGTTTTAAAAAAAATTGGTTGTCTTAGACAGACATATTTGCATGTCCTCACTAAGCATTATTACATATTAATTTAATATTAAACAAATCAAAATGGCCAATTATCCCAACATGTTGCTGCTAATATAATCATATGCTGGTCAACTTTAACTGATAAAAAATCAATTCTGAAAAAATACTTGAATTATCTATGAAATTGCAATATTGTCCCTCAGTTTGTTTCAACCCCGTCACGCCATACCATTTACCCTCCTATTAAAATAATGGATCAGTCCATGTGTGATCTGCATTGAGGGAATTACATCACAAAAGTGTCAGTTTCTTCTCTTACCTATATTTCAGTTTTTGTATTTTCAGATTAAGATTGACAAACTCAACATTTCAATATGTTGTATGAATTAATAATAGTAAATAATTGTTTATTACAAAAATAAACAATAGTTTTGCAAAATATTACAATGTTGTAATGTCCTTGACTTCCATGTTATATCTTAGCTAAACAAGTATCATGCCTACTTTTTGTCAAAAACGTCAACCCTGTTACATTTGTTCAAGTAAATTCCTAGTAATTATTTATATTTTGTGCCTGAGGTGGGAACATGTAAGTAGTCCACTACCAGATGTTATGACCAAACATTTTGGTTTCATTTTTCAAAGATATAAAGACCCAAAAGGCACCCGATTCAGAGAATACTCAGAATTCTGCATACTGTAAGTACTTAATTATAATTAAGTACACAAATGACATCACCCATCTCTTCAGAGAGCTACAGGTGACCTGTGCAGCAACACATTTCAATCAATATTTGTCCATACTAAGAGCTGCTAGATTGTGCTGTTGTAATGGAATATGTAAGGAGAATAAGAACATACCATGTGGTCCAGCTGGAGTTTCATCTGCCTCCTGATCCCTGCCTCTGGCCCTCTTTCTGATACTTCATCTTTATTCCTCACATATATTTCTTCTTCTTCACTAATGTCTTCATCTCCTCCTCTTCCTCCTGCTCTGACCCTCCTGGTCTCTTCATCTCCTCCTCTTCCTCCTGCTCTGAGCCTCCTGGTCTCTTCATCTCTCTTTTCCTTTTCCTCTTTCTGTTCGTCCTGATCACTTCTCATATGTCTTTTTGTTGTTGTTGAATCACTCCTATACTCTGGCCTGCAAGAGTCTACTTGTGAAAAGCACTGGTACAAATGCTTGTATAACTTTGCACGTTAGGGCCATGTAGCCTAGCTAATATGTAGCATATCATAAATATAACATCAGAAAGTATTGATCAAGCGCACACAGGCAGCTGTGTTTGGATCCAGTTTTTACGGTAAAGGATGTATCCTGGTTTCATTGATCTGGCCTCATGGCTGTGATGTGTAGTTTACGTGGATTTAATAGGAGGCTACCGCGTAGTTTAACAAAGTGATCGATCTCCCAGCTAACGCTGTCTGCGTAGTATTTTGTAACGTAACGCCCCAAACAGCGCCCGTCTGTTAAACGCTATCGATTCAAACGGCAGCGTTTTATTAATATTTAGTTTCAAGCTCTCGTCCTTAGTAAAAACAAAACTAGTGGAAATGGAAATGCTCCCAGGGGAAGCTGATCCATAAGTGCTGAGACAGCTCGCTCCCTCTCTGCAGCGGTGTGAGCCGCGGCCTGTGTGAACGCCGCTCCGCAGTTTAATGCAGGGCCGTAGCTGCGTTTTTAACGGGCCTATAATGATATTTAAAATGATTCACTTTTAACTAATGTAATGCTTGTTTTGTTGCTTGAGAAGCTTGTGGAAATAGTGTAGGTTTGTTTTAGTACAGTTTTAGGGAAACAAAAATTAGGGGGGCAGCTGGGGGGGCAAGGCTCGACAGTGGGGGGGAAGCTGCCCCCCCTTGCCCCCCCCGTAGATCCGCCCCTGAGTGTAGTTAATCAAAGTATTCTGTTCTTCTACAAGTTAAACATGTACCAGAAGTGAGGGAAATCAAGGATGTTTTCACATATAGACTCTTTTAAACTAACCATATAGTGGACCAACAGAAAACGGATATGTTTCTTGTGTGAATGTATTTGAAAGAGGTCTCAATTCTCTTTCTGTTTCACTTCAGACCACCTCTCAAGGACGTATGAGTATGGTTAGTTAGTTGCTGAATCACCTTAACCTCTAAACTTATATTGTTATACCTGAAATTATAGCATTTTAATTGGATGAGATTGTCACATAATATGCTGAGGATGACCATGACACGATGACCTCGTCTTCAGTGTCTGGTCAATGACAGACAAAGTCATATTTATAAAAATGACTCAGTGTTTGGAGGTCTATCTCTAAGAATGTTTCCACCTATCCCCCTGCATTGAAACGTTTAAGGCCTTAATAAAGTATAGGTCCATGTTGCCACTAAAGTCTATACACATCTTCAATGTGCAGCTGTCCCTGATTGAACATCTAAAGGCGCGTGTGATACATTATGCAACAGCAGCATTCTGTTTTTCTATGACATGTCTCGTCTACATCGTCTCCACCCCTCCCTTTCCCCTCATTTTCTCTCTTATTCCTCTTTGCACACGTACAATATGTAATCTGCTACTTTTTCCTACTTGAAATGCTATTCCTGTGGCACTCTGATGTTATCAGATAGTTCTGAGGCAGAATCCAGCTTTGAACAACTTGTGCTTTTTATTCAAAATTGGACTGCCACATTGCGTTTGCTTTTGTTGGTATTGACCACATATACTTTTATGTAATGTAAATATATATATTATAATTTTTTTGTCAGTTGCACTTCCATAATCAAATATGTATTTTTTATCCTTGCAGTTGCCCCTGTCGGCCACCGTAATCTCTTCATAGCTCTAATTGGCCACGTGTTAAGCATAATTAAGCCTTGTTAGATCCGTGTTACTGAAGTTTTGATGCCATTTGTAACTTTTTAAATACATATAATGAACTATAGATGGGTAGTCGCAACACTACAACGTGCTAGCATGTATTTTCTAATAACACTTACCAGTCCCCTTGCCTATAAAAATATCTCTGATTTTCCTGTCGTTTCCTTTGTCTTTCTCTTGGAATAAATGAATGTTGTTAATAGTTATTAATAGTCAATGAAGCAGGTAAATCAAAGTGACATCGCTGGAGATTTGGCTAGTTTGCATCAGGATATTCACATCCTTGAAACATCACACCATTTTGTCTTCTAATTATCTCAGCCAGAAACTTCAGGCTCAGTAATCAGAATAATAACCAGGTGTGAACATTCAGATGTTGTACTTCCAGTTGAGAATAACTCTGGAGTGAGTGAGCAACAATTTGATATTCAACAGGACACACTGCTCATTCGTCTTGTCGGAAAAGTAGGGTGGCAGTTATGGAAATGTATGGACAATTGACACCTCTGAGTGTCTCAGAGGGCTCTTGAAAGGGTGATAGCAATGGAGTAGGGAATTGGTATTCAGATACATTTTACACATAATATCCATGTAGCCTAGAAAACAGCAACAAAATCATACTGCTTCTTCCAGGAAGCCAAACTATGACTTGCACTACACTACCTTTTTAAGTAAACTTTAGTTTAAATACTTGTAATCTAGTTATAACAGATGATTTAATATTGGTGTGTTTAAAGGGAAACATCACTATGAGGCTGGGTAATATACAAACTTAACACAAGAAGTAAGGCAATTTGTGTTTGGTAGATGATTTCTATGTTGTAACAATACTTTTGGCAATACATCTTGTACCATTGGAAAGCCTGTTTTCCAGATTTGTGAGGAACAAGCATTTGTTGGATGAGCAGCAGAGCTGAGTATGTGGGATGCGCCCATGAAAAATGTGACAAATCTCCTCTGCCAATGCCAAACAGCAGCCACTCTCCGGTCTCGTACGGCTGCCAGGAGCCTGCCATGACTGCCCTACACCGTCAGGCCCACTTAAACAGGAACCTCAACATGTGGAGGAACATTATGCTCAGCGATGAGTCCAGATTCTGCCTACGGCACATGGATCGTAGGGTCACATTGTGGAGAAGACGCAGAGAATGCTTTGCTGATTGCTGCAACGATAGAGTAGGAGTGGAGAGGATGGGATGACCTGCAGTCCTGACCTCAACCCCATTGAACCCCATTTTGGGTCAGCTTGGCCCTGTTGTCCGCTCCAGAGTGACCAACAAAACCACGCCGGCTGACCTGGGACAAATGCTGGTTGAAGAATGGGAGGCCATCCCACAGCAGAGTGTGAGCAGGCTGGTGACAGCATGAGGAGGAGAGGCTGTTGTGGCTGTGTTTGGTTCTTCCACACGCTACTGAGGCTGCTTGTTAAATGAATCAATTGTTAATAAATCAATTGTTGCCAATATGTCTTTATTCATCAGACTTCAATCATCCAATCCACCATACAACACAAAACTAGAGTCAGCAGCAACAAAATATGTTAGAGGAGATTTGTCACATTTATGTGGGGTATCACATTTTTCATGGGCGCACCCGACATACTCAGCTCTGCTGCTCATCCCACAAATGCTTGTTCCTCATAAATGTGGTACCACTGGAAAGGTAAGAAAACAGGATATAACGGTATAAGATTTATTGCCAAAAAGCATTGTTTCAACTTGGAAATCATCAACCCAACACAAATTGCCTTACTTCTTGTGTTAGGTTTATATATATAAAATGGATATCATGATAGACTAGATATCGTCCTACATTTTGGATATCGTAATATCGCAAATGTTTCTTCTTTCAAAGGCAGTAAAGTGCTGTAATTTTATGAACATGCATTTGAACCCTCTTAGCTATTATATCCAAATTCCAGATGTTTACTTTTTCAAAAACTGCATCACATTGTGTTTATATCGCCAAATATCGGAGTAATTGATCAGAAATATCGGGATATTAGATTTTCTTCATATATCCCTTCTGTTATATGATAGGTTGCTTTTATGTTGGAGTTTCTTCATTGCCAATTATGCAGAAAATCTGCAGTAGAGCAGAGCAAAGTGCAATACAGGTTATGAGGAGCAAGATGACAGAGCAGGGTGAATGAGGAGTTAATGACTAAAGTAAGCATGACTACAGGGAACCAACAAGATTGAATGAATATCTGTTTTACAAATCTTGTGAGCAGTTTAAATTAAATTACTCTGGGAGATAACTGAATATGTTGAGCGTCATAACACGTAATGACATTAGATAGATGAAATGACTGTCAGTAACACCGTGAAGCTCTCACCTTGTTGGCTGCAAGAAAGTCCCTCATGGAGATCATCTCCCCAGACATCCTGCGCCCGTTGTCGGTCTCACTTTCGTTGAGGGCATCCGTCTCGATGGAGGGGTCTCTGCGGGCGCGCAGGTGGCCCGGTGCCACCACGTTCCGTCGGGGGTGCCGGTGTGGGTGGTGACCCCTCCTGGGGAAACAGCAGCGGCAGGGTGCGTCCAGCCTCCTCAGGAGCCAGTTCAGGACCTGCTTGATGACGATGGAGATGACGTTGAAGAGGGAGTAGATGCAGCAGACGCCGGTCAGGATGAAGAAGAAGTTGCCCAACCTATACGCGACTGTGGCGTGGCCCTCGTACACCGCCCGCTGGCTGCTCACCATGTCTCCAAAACCAATTGTGCTAAAGGCCACAAAGCAGAAGTAGAGCGAGTCCAGGTAGTCCCAACCCTCGGCTGCAGAGTACATGAGCGAGGCAGAGCAGGACACCACAATGGCCGCCATGCCTAGAATGAACATGACGCAGTAAACCGAAGGCTTCCAGCCAGCCAGATCCTCTCCTCTTTCTCCTCCATTTCCACCAGCTCTGTTTCCCTCAGACACTCGCTGGCCATTTGATGCAAGCGCAGCTTTTTTATGCCGATGTTCGTGACAGGACTTGAGGACCACGGCGATGACTGTGATGACACGCTCCAGAAAGAGGTTGAAGAAGAGGATGGTGGCAGCGCAGCCGAGCAGGCCGTAGAACATCAAGAAGACTTTTCCTCCAATGGTGGCAGGAGTGGTCATACCGAACCCTTGGAAACACACAATATATGCAATAAGGAAATATATACATAATAGGACTGCAAGCTCACGTTCAGAGAGTAGCTAAACTCCTTGACTTTTGCAGATGCAGGTGGCTCTGAATAAAAAGGAGAGAATAAACGCTTCACAAAGCACAAAAGAAGCATTATTATCACTGGAAAACTATCACACACACTGTTGTAAATGAATGGATCCTTTGTAGAGAAGACGTTTGTGTCCATTGCCTCCAGCTAATTGTATTTACCTTTTTAATCAAACTCATATCCTTTATGCCATTAACAAAGAAGGCTAATTACTGATATTTTCTTCTCAGAGAGGGAAATCATTCTCACAAAACTGGCTGAACCCCTTAGTTGCCATTGGTGACGTGCTCTCCTTCTCGCTCTGTCTCTTTGTCACTCACTTAATCAAAGCGCAAATGTGTTTTCAATCCAAGCACATCTTGACAATCAGAGCAAAGGTGTCTGTTTCTTTAACATTTCACCGTATTCCCTACGGTTACTTAGCAAGTGAAAGTCCCACTGGGGCCACTTCACTTGTCAATTGTATCATGTTCTATCATTTTTAAAAGGTAAGAACCCATTAAACTGTTTTCTATTTATAAGGGCAACAGACACACTGTTGGTGTGTGACCTCTCTTTGTCTCTTTTGAACTGACAGAGAAACAAAATAGGACTCAAGCCGAGAGCTGCATCCATCGATCGCACAGATCTCAGCGATGTCTCATCCCTCATTTAGCACTTAAGGCGAGACACGGCAGGCAAAAACATCGTTTTTCAAGTACTGGTCCATTTTGAGATTTTGTGCTATTTTGATTCCATAACATGTTTTCTTTCAGGCTTTTGGAAGGAAAACGTACAAAATACACATTTAAGTGTTTATTTTACTATAGTTTGTCTATTTGCGTCTGTAGGTTTCTCCTAAATTCACCAAAAGTTAGCATTCTAACGTAACATAAAGTACCGCGACCGCTGTTTGCACCATGTCAACAGAGGTATCGCTGGAAAGCTGTGTCTCTCCTGCACAATCTCATCGGATCCAAATATGGTCATTTCCTTTGTATCAGCAACCAATCGTGAAAGCACAAAGGGGTCTTAAACCAAGAAACGAAATCTCATTGGCTGGTGTCAATTTCTGACAATGTGATTCGTTCAGATGCGTCACGTGGTGTGCTAAAACACTTCCTGGTTAGCTTTCAGCTAGAAATTGAAATCTCAAAATGCCAAAAGAACGGCGAAAAAAACGTTCACAGAGAAGACGACAACAATTGTCACTTGCACGAAGCAAGGTTATAAAAAAAAAAAATGACCCTGAACATGAAATACCTTCACGGAGTGTGTCGATGCGCAAGCTGTCATCCAAAGAACAGGAGGGTTTAGCTAGCGCCTCACTGCAATCTTTAAAGGTCGTTTTCTCAAAATGAGTTTTTTCTCCTACTCTGAGTTCGACATTTCAACTTCAGTAGCACGTACATACACCAAACCTTCCAGTTATATTCCCATCAATATTATGAAGGCTTTTACAGAAGGGTTTGTTCATATATAATTCATAGCCTGAATTATACAACATTGTATACCTAAAAACATGGCGAAAATTGATATTTTAGGGCTGTTGACAGTATTTTCTGATTTATGGAGTGATAAAAAGAGATATCCAATATCCCTTCTGTAAAAGCCTTAGATACTAATATGACTACAAAATGAAACAAGAATTTTGAATCTGGCTATATCCAAAGTTCAGATTTCGATTCCTGAAATGTGTTAAAATATGTGCATATTTAATGAGATAATGGATAATTTGCATATTTAAACATGCTATTTCAGAAAACTTGTAATACAAAAGACAATTGCCTTATTGTAAGTAATTAACTGGAGACATTTCTAGCTGATACCTTTAAGTTAAAAAAATTACCCTATTCACCTGGGGTGTCTCGCTCAATGAAGCACTGTCTGTCTCTGTTCACCTGTTTGAGTTTGATATATTAATAACAACGTTATTGTCTGCAGATTCAGTTACATGCACGCTGTTTTGTTGTGCAGCTTGGAATTCTGACAAGAGCCTTTTCACTCGAAAAGCAAAGATACATTTGACTGAATCTCCTTTCATGAAATAACACTCTGAGCAAGGCCAGCCCTAGGATTGTGGTGGGCCTAAACTAATTCTGCAGATAGGGCTCCATGCAGGAATAAAGCCAACATGTATAATAAGCAGTGGCGACTGGTCATTAGGGGCAGGTGGGGCACAGCCCGACCTAGTGTCAGCAGAAAGTATTAAAATAATGATTACAACAAAATGCAAAAAATAAATTAAAAAATATATTTTAAGATCATGTTTAATCATCTGATTCGTCTGTACATTGCTGTTTTAGTATGTGTTCTTCTAATTAGTGTCTACAGTGTGTGCCTATTGAGCTGTTTAGAGCCATGTGGGACAAAACCCGATCCTGCCCCTCCCTCTCACTGTCTAAGTGAACGGTGACTGTAAAAACTACACTGCGCATGCTCAGAGTATTTTCCTATTTAATGTGTGTGGCAACAAATAATGACCATAGGGGCATAGTGCTGCCATCCCCACCATACGTCATCTCACATAATTCAGAGCTGATTGGCTGTAAGTACGTGTGCCGCGAAAAGTGTGTTGTGTGAAGAGGAGGAGAGAGACGCGTCCTAAAACCAGGAAGTAAGCTGCGCATGGCTTCCCTCCACAAAAAAGCAATGAGATTTCTCCATAGGATTTTAGAAAATAGCTCAAAATAAGATCTGTGGGAAACATAGATAAATGTACGTTTTGTTCAGCCGGATAATATCCACATCCACTACTTTTATCATTTTCGAATCATAAATCCATCATTTAGATTTATGATAGACTTTTGAAACTACAAGAAGATAAGGAGGACTTTTACAAAAAAGTAATAGAGATTTTTGTCCAGAAGGATAGGCAAATGGACTTCATCTTCAAGTCAAGGTAAGACCACAATTTCATTGAAAATGGGATCTTACTAAGAGAGAACAATTCAATATTTAAATGATAAAATTAGATTTTTTGGGTATCTTTTGTTGAACTGTCTGTTTAAAATTAATCGAAGCATCAGACAAAAAAAGCTTTTGGAAATAATATTATATTTTGATTTAGGTCAAAATATAATATTTGTAAACCTGAAGAATCAGTGCCAGTGCCTCACCAGCCATGAACCTCACTGCAGAAGCTTATATATAGACAGGGGTGCACATAACTTGTTTGCCCTGGTTCTCAAAGGAGCACCTGGAGATGTTGCTTGGTGCTCATCCTTAAAATGAAATAAACCGTAACTTTTGAGGGGGTCTTGACTTTATTTGCCAGACACACGGCACTGAACACACAGAGGTGCACACAGAACACAGATGCAGAGGTGAACACAAGACAACATTAGCACGAGCAGTAATCCTACAAGCTGTCATCACTACCCTCCTGACTGTTCTCCTCACTGTCTTCCTCTCTGTCAGACATGGTAGCTGATGATATAGGCCTAGATACTTCCTCTCTGGTTGAGTCTGTGATTAGCTGCTTGCATCCACAAGTCAACAGCTGGTTTTGGATCGAAAGTCTCTGTTGTCATCTTAGACAAGTGGATGTAATCAAATAAGTATGTGAACATAACCAATAACCTACCATAGCCAATAACAAATTAATGTAACTTATTTTATTTTTGTTGTTCATATCTTATTTTACCTTAACATTTATTTATTTATGCATTTTTTTTTATCTTTCCAGTTTTAAAGGATATTTTTGGTTTACTGTCCTATAGTCAGGGCTGCACATAACTGGTGCGCAGGTGCGCATGCGCACCTCCGCCAAAAAAAGAGCACTGGGTCATTTGAAAAAAGGCGCATTTGCGTACCAACATTGAGAGAGAGAGAGAGAGAGAGGAGAGAGGGAGAGAGAGAAGAGGAGGGGGAGGGGCTGCGCTGGCAGCTCTGGGAGGGAAAAAACATTTGTGACTGTTGGGGCTCATCCTAATTTTCGGCCTTGATGTAACAATATTCATAATTAAGTAAATGTAACACCCTTTTCACCCCGGTTACACGTTTCATTTGCCCTGTACGATGTAGGAAAATGGGAGATGTTGGCTTATCTGGCACCCGCAGCTCACAGCCAAAGTGCGAGGGAGCGAGGGAGTGAGGGAGGGTGCACCGGTACCGGCGCTGTTGTTATTAGAATCTGGTGCTAGCTGCTCGAACGGATATAAGAAGAAGATGTTTCTACAATGATGTGGAGGGAGAGTCCTCTCCAGTCAGACTGAGAGGCTGATACTACAGCTCAGTGAGGTAAAGGACTCTGAGTGTTTAGATAGTTCACTTTAGTCTAAGTTATCTCAGTGGGTCTCAAACGTTTTGATCACAATTTATGTAAACACATTTACAAGGCACTCCTTTATAATTATTGGGATAAACAGGTTTGAAATCATTCCAATGTATACTATACGACAGTAAACCAAAAATATCCTTTAAAACTGGAAAGATAAAAAAAAATGCATAAATAAATAAATAAATGTTAAGGTAAAATAAGATATGAACAACAAAAATAAAAGAAGTTACATTAATTTGTTATTGGCTATGGTAGGTTATTGGTTATGTTCACATACTTATTTGATTACATCCACTTGTCTAAGATGACAACAGAGACTTTCGATCCAAAACCAGCAGCTAATCACAGACTCAACCAGAGAGGAAGTAGTAGGCCTATATCATCAGCTACCATGTCTGACAGAGAGGAAGACAGTGAGGAGAACAGTGAGGAGGGTAGTGATGACAGCTTGTAGGATTACTGGTCGTGCTAATGTTGTCTTGTTTTCACCTCTGCATGTGTGTTCTGTGTGCACCTCTGTGTGTCCAGTGCCGTGTGTCTGGCAAATAAAGTCAAGACCCCCTCAAAAGTTACGGTTTATTTTATTTTAAGGATGAGCACCAAGCAACATCTCCAGGTGCTCCTTTGAGAACCAGGGCAAAAAAGT